ATCAACCTTGTATCTATCTTTTCCTTCTTTAATCTTTTCTCCCTTTTCTTCCTCCGGCACTTCCGTGTACTTCACGAGGATGGGGTTGCGGCGTTGCATGCCTTCTGTTTGGTCTACATAGTTCTGATTTGATGACAATGGACTTTTTGATTCTCCCGTGTTTCTAGCGTGTTCTGTCACTTTCAGCCCCCTGACGTGTCAAGGATGTATCCACCGTGGAGACGGAAAAGGCTGGGGTTGATCTTTTGCCTGGATGATCATACATGTACGAAGTAGAGAACCCTGAGGTCCACTGGGATGACTACCAAATGATCTATTAGACGCAGTGTAACCAAGCAGGGGAAATAGAACATCCTGATGGTGTGATTTCTTTTAATATATTGCTTTGCACTAGTAAGTTTCGGGCTTTTTTCTGTGTCTTTGCATGAGATATACCGTGCATGTATACATATGAAATTTGTGCATTGGAAATATACTCAAGATGCATATGGCGTTGACAACGTCGACTTGATCAATAGAAATGTCCCTGTGTTGTGTTGTGTTCCAGACCCCCTGTGAAGGGGGTCCAAAGTACCGGTACCTCCTGGTACACACTGTGGAGGCGGGAGAGGCTGGTCACTAGCTGTACTGTACACGTGTATTACACACAATCCCTCTGCCTACTCCCCTTTCATCATTATTTTCTTTCGACTCTTTCAACTCTACTCCATACTCTCAATCATTGACTCACTGTTGCACATTTTTGAGAATCATCCACTGTGGGGGATGATCCGCTACCCCGATTCGTGAGCTCGATCCACACTTTAACTCGATCCGAACCTCTTCTTCCTCCCTCACCAAATTCAACACATGAGCACATGAGGAAGCACCCTCCACCTCCGCCATCACTCTCTTTCCTCTCTGTGCTGACGTTTCCACAATGCGGTGGCGGCTGCCGGGCGCCCGTTCGACCCTCCCCGCCAGTGTCGCCCTCCTTCTCCTGCCAGCCCTGGTCGCTCCGCAGCAGCAACCAGATGATACCATCTCCCGCCTCTCCGTGCCCCTAGCACAAGAGTCATCAACACAACATGCAGCCCACGTAGCTGCACCCCCCATCGTGAAACCCAACGATGCGAGCGCCCTTGCTACTCTGGCTCTGGCAGGCTCCGGCCGCGCCGTTCGAGCCCCTCCTGTCCAGGCCAGCAGCACAGCTGCAGGTCTGGCTTCGCAGCTTCACGCGCGGTCCTTGCAGGACTGGGAGGTTGAGGATTTTGTGCTACTGGCGACCGTCGACGGAACCATTCACGCCCGTGATCGCAAGACCGGGACTGCGCGCTGGGCCCTGGAGGTTTCTAGCAGTCCTGTTGTTGAAAGCATCTACCATCGTGCGAATCGTTCCTCTTTTGATGATACCGAGCCCGAAGACGATTTCTTGTGGATTGTTGAGCCTAGCCAGGATGGCAGCCTCTATATCTACAGTCCCGGCCCGGACGCCGGTTTGCAGAAACTCGGCTTGACTGTTAAACAGCTTGTCGACGAAACTCCTTATTCCGGTACTGATCCTGCCGTGACTTACACTGCCCGGAAAGAAACTACGCTGTATACTATTGATGCCCGCACTGGCAGCATTCTAAGGGTGTTCAGCTCTCGTGGTCCCATTACTTCTGGGCCGGAATGTCGAAAGGTCGATGGACAAGATGTGGATCCTGAGGAGTGCGAGTCGTCTTCGGGTACTTTGGTGCTGGGCCGGGTCGAATATGCCGTCGCTATCCAGAACACTGAGACGGGTGATCCAATCTGCACATTGAAATACTCTGAGTGGGCACCGAACAATCGCGATATGGACCTCCAGAGCCAATACTATCGCACCATGGACCAGAGTCACATTTATAGCATGCATGACGGCGTTGTACTGGGATTCGATCATTCGCAGATGGATCGACCTCGTTATACTCAGCGCTTCTCGTCGCCGGTGGCTCGTGTCTTTGATGTGGTTCGTCCTTCCCACAAAGATAGACCAGACGCCTCCACTCCGCTTGTCCTTCTGTCACAGCCCCTTCAGCCGCCGGACCCAGATTACGGTTCGCTAGACGATGACCGGGATATGCGTGTGTTCATCGATTGCACTGAGGCCGGTGGCTGGTACGCCTTTTCCGAGGAAACGTATCCTCTGGCCACAGGCCGCGCCCCAATGGCTTCATGCTATGACAAAGACTTCTTCCGCAGGGGCCAGGCGCTCATGAGTCTGACTCCACACCAACAGCGAAATGCATTGGCGGGTGTCCATTCACTCAATGGCCCTCGTGTCATCCGTTCTCCCATGCCCAGAATCGCTGGGTCATCCACCTCTGAGCTGTCAAATGACACTCCCCGGGAGGCTTTACGTAGCCCCTCTGAGCTGGCCTTACCTCCGGCTCTTCGCAATAGCGCAATCATCCGCAAGAGCTGGGACAATGCGTTGGACATTGTCGTCACTTTGATTCTATTGTTCATCTGCACCTTCATTTACTTCAACTCTCATCATCTTCGGGACTTGGCCAAACAAAAGCTTGACATCAAGAACATCATCAACTCAAATGACAAGGCGTCTCTATCAACGCCCTCCACTCCTCTTGTCGGTGCCTCTCCGGACCTCAAGCGCCCATCCACGCCTTCACAGCAAGTCCCCAATGTGACTGTCAATTTGGATATGGATGGCTCGACACCAAATGGGGACGCTAGCAAACCATCCTCCGGAAGCCACATGTCCCCTGACTCAACACCTCGTGTTAAGATTCGTGAGCCATCTCGCGGTCCTGACGACGAGGAGGGTGACGAGAATGAGAAGCCTAAGAAGAAAGGCCGCGCTCGTGGTTCTCGTGGTGGAAAGTCCCACCGTCGGCGCAGAAAGCCCGGCAGCGAAGGTGACACTGCCGAAATTGCTGAGCAGGTCATTGAGCAAGTTAACACCTTGGCTCCCCAGTCTCGACTTGAGCCTGATGTTCAGCTGACTCGTCAAGTCTCAAACGAGATCATGGAGATGGATGGCGTTATCCGCATTGGTCGCCTTCAGGTGTTCACGGACGTTGTTCTGGGCTTTGGTAGCCATGGAACTGTGGTCTACCGCGGTTCCTTTGATGGACGTGATGTGGCCGTTAAGCGTATGTTGATGGAATTCTATGACATTGCATCCCACGAAGTGGGCTTGTTACAAGAAAGTGATGACCACCATAACGTGATCCGGTACTTCTGTCGTGAGCAAGCCACCGGATTCTTGTACATTGGTCTCGAGCTTTGTCCCGCATCTCTCCAGGATGTGATTGAGCGTCCTGCCGAGTACCCAGAACTAGTCCAAAATGGCCTGGATATGCCTGATGTACTGCGCCAGATTACTCAGGGTGTTCGTTACTTGCATTCTCTGAAGATCGTCCACCGTGATCTTAAGCCGCAGAACATTCTCGTGGCTATGCCTCGTGGTCGCAGCATCTCCCGTTCATTGCGGCTCCTCATCTCGGATTTCGGTCTGTGCAAGAAACTGGAGGACAACCAGAGTTCGTTCCGGGCGACTACGGCCCACGCTGCTGGAACTTCTGGCTGGCGTGCCCCTGAGCTTTTGGTAGACGATGACGGTCCAATGTCTCTAGCCTCACAGCACACCGAGTCTTCGGAGCCTGCTGTTGTAGATCCTCAGACAAACCGTCGTGCTACCCGTGCCATTGACATCTTCTCTTTGGGCTGCGTCTTTTACTACGTCTTGACTCGTGGCAGCCACCCATTCGACAAGAATGGCAAGTTCATGCGTGAGGCGAACATCGTCAAGGGCCAATTTGATCTGGAGGAATTGAACCGTCTGGGTGATTACGCCTTCGAAGCAGATGATCTCATTCGGTCCATGTTGTCTCTCGACCCCCGTCAACGACCCGACGCCAGCGCTGTCCTAATGCACCCCTTCTTCTGGCCCCCGTCCGACCGCCTCAGCTTCCTCTGCGATGTATCAGATCACTTCGAGTTCGAGCCCCGCGACCCACCGTCAGAGGCTCTCCTCTGTTTGGAATCCGTCGCTAGGCGGGTCATGGGCCCTGAGATGGATTTCTTGCGTTTACTGCCAAGGGACTTCAAAGACAATCTCGGCAAGCAGCGCAAGTATACCGGGTCGCGCATGCTTGATCTCCTTCGCGCTCTCCGTAACAAGCGCAATCACTATAATGATATGCCTGAGTATCTTAAGGCTCATATTGGTGGTTTGCCGGAGGGATATCTTAATTTCTGGACTGTTCGCTTCCCGAGTTTGTTGATGAGTTGTCATTCGGTTATTGTTGAGCTGGATTTGACTCGCATTGATCGGTTCCAGAGGTATTTTGTGCCGCCTGAATAGGAGTTGTGTGTATTGCATATTGCATTTATTTCGCGTTTATTGGTCATCTTTGTGGCTTTCATTGCTTGCATTCGATCATATACATCTAAATCATATTTCCTTTCCATACTTATCTGTTTTCTGTGTAATCGTAACGTGTGAAACAGTCGTAGGCTGTAGAGTTCAAAGATATATAACGCGCAGACCCCACCATTGACTGAAACGTACATATCTGAATGTCTAGTTCTTCGTTTGGAAGCCGAAATGTAAAAATGAAAGATAGCATGTATTTAATCCCATTGAAGACACATCCAGCTATTTCCATCAAGCCGTTGGATACATCGGACATAGAGTAAATGTGATAAACCCATAAGTGGATCGCGACGTGACGGCTTCGCGCCATTTTCTTTCCGCGACTCCCCAATTTCCGCTCCGCAACGTTTCCTCCCACCCTCTCTGCAAGCTTCCTTTTGGCATTTGATGCCGGCCTGCAGACCGTCATGCCAATTTAAGCAAGCTTCTCATGTTTCTGCCTTCCTCCAATTCGCCGCGCCGACCGTTCCTCCCCAACATCCAAATCTTTTGAGCTTCGACCTGGACCATCTGAAGAACTCCCTCGTGCTTGTCAGCTTGTCGATTTCCTCCCTCCTACACGCCACCAGTCATCGCGCGTACACACTACTCCACAATGGTGTTCCTACGATTGTCTGTCAAAGTATTCCCGCGGGATCAGCTGGCCTCCAACTCAAGCTCGAGCTGGGGACGGTCTCTCCCCTTCACGCGGAAGTCTGTGAATGATGACTCGAGCCAGGTATCTGCGGCGTCCGCTTCATCAAAGAAACCGGGTATCTTTCTCCTTGTACTTGAAAAGCCAGAGGATGTAACGCTAGGTGGACTTGCGGGAATGATCCAGGATCACTGGGCCAAGCTACACCCTGACCTTGAGTAAGTACTCTACTTGAGCGATTGGACAGTTGCGATTAATGAAGAATTTCAATGGCTGACTCTCGCGACTCCTAGACCCCTCACGATTAAGAAGATCTTGGACGATACGAAAGAAGACCTCGACCTTTACCCCGATTTGACTGTCGCCGATGTTTGGGTTGACTATGGAAAAGCCCGCGCCGATGGTCTTGACCAGCGTGGTACTGTCCGTGTTGTTCAGAAACCTGCTGCTGCTGCAGCGCCAGAACGCTTCCCCTCTGTTGATCAGGACTGGGATGCTGCGATTGTCGCATATGAACGGCAGCGCGATTCGAAGATTAAGAAAGAGGGTATTAAGCGGCGGTTCTCTCCTATCCAAGAGGAAGATGAGTTGCAAAGCGTTCATTCCGTACCAAGCCACCGATCGTCTCAGTCCCCATGGTCCGTCTCGCCTGGTCACCCCGGACACGATACACAAAATCAACACCGCATTCATAATGGTATGTCTAAAGAACAGCGCCGTCGTCGCGATGTGCCTCTTTCTTCTGTTGAAGTCCACAGTCCTACCGCTCAACATGACTCGGCGGCAGTTAATGGGCCTACGATTGCTGGCACGCCTCCTCCTAGACGGGACGAGAGTGAAGAGCTCGGCGAGTCGCCTTCTCCAGCTGAACGACGACGTTCTAGCACGAGAGCTAGATCTACACCTGCTTCCGCAACTGCCACTTCCCCGAATTCGAATGGTCGACTGGAGAAGGTTGTGAGACCGCGTGTGCCAGCTACACGAACGATTACCAAGATGCCCGACGATGCTGAACCTGCTGAGTTGTCTCAGCAGTCAGATGAAGCCCCTGCGGTTTCTGAGCAAAAGGACAAAGAACAGATTGAGGAGAGCAGCAATGAGGCAAGCGAGTCTGAGAGCGCAGAGGACAAGAATGTGACTCCACCACCCAAGCCAGCTGTGAAGCGCACCTCTGTTGGACCTAAGCCAGAAAGCCATCTCTCCGCGCTTGCCAAGAGCACATCGAAGTCACCGCAGCAGAAGCCCGCTGATCACGCAATTCCTATTTCGAGCGCGGAAGAAAGTGAGGATAGCGATGACGACAGTGACGACAGTGACGAGGAAAGCGACAAGGAATCGGACAAGAACGAAACTGCGAAAAGCCCAGCGAAACCGGTTACAGTTGAGAATCCCGAAGACAAGCCAGCACAAAACGAGGACGATGATCGCCCCGAGGAATCCTCATCTTCATCTTCGCCTTCATCTGATTCTTCTTCCTCCGAGTCTGGAGATAACGAAGAACGCGCCGCGGAGGATACAATCGCCGAAACCCAGGTGACTGCTAATCGGACTCAGGAGGCTGATAAAGATGGAGATGTGCAAATGGAAGGCTCTCAGACCAATGTTCTCCCTCAGGCATCTCAGATGAACGGTGCTTCGGGCGAAATTCGATCTCTGAAGCGCAAGCAGAGTCCAGAAGGACCTGTGTCAGTCAAGGAAACTCGTATCAACCAGGCCCATCCATCAACTCGCCAGCAGGCTAAATTCAACTCCCCTTCAGTTGTAATTTCTTCACAGCATACAGAGGACCAATCCAAGTCGAAGTCACCAATTGGCTCGGCTGAGATCCCGCTACCACCTCAGTTAGTGAGCCCACGCCGGAGACATGAGCGTGTCCCTTCATTCTCTAGCCCTGCCCGTCGCCGTGCCAGTATTTCGAAGGACAGGGAGCAGTCACCCAACCCTACGAAAGGACTGGGATTGGGTATCACTGCGAGCCCCCCCAGTAAGCAGCTCATGAGGAACATTGAACAGGACATGCATACTGCTGAGCCTGCTCGGAACGGCTTTGGTAGCGGCTTTGGTGGGCCTCTGTTGCCCAGCAGCGTACCTACCGCGGCTGATTCAGTCGATATGACCCCCGGCGCTAAGCAAACACCTGCGCTCGACAGGACCAAGAAGTTGCACTCCGCGATCCGCGGGAAAGATTCCCCCTCAGAACGGGGTGAGAGACGATCGGTCTCTTTCCAAGAGGGTGACAATGTCTTCTTGACTTCCGACCCTGCTCTACCTACAACCTCAACTCCTCGCGCTACCACTACGAAGTCCCAGCCAGCAAAACCACCAACTGCCGCTAACAAGATTATTGCTTCGGGTACGCAGTCCGGCTCGGATCCTCGTGGTACGCCCAAGGACAAGGAAGCTCAGAAGAGACCGACTTCCGCCGAACCTCCCAAGCAAACTGCCAATGGAACGAGGGGCAATGCCACCAAGGCTGCCTCTAAGGGCAAAGCCGCTCAGAAGACCCCGGCATCGAAGTCTCCCCAGGGAACTCCATCCAGCAGTCAGAGCCACACCGTCTATCCACCAGGGTTCTCTGTCGAAAGCATCAGCAAAATAAGTGCGCAAATCGAGCAGGATACGCAAGAGAAACACGAACTGGAAGAACGACTCAAAGCATCAAATGCCGATCCTCAAGTATTGATTTTAGCGACGGAGATGCTGGGGCTCATCAATAACCTTGAGACCAAGAAGCGCCAGGGAAACAAGAGGATGGGGGTATGGCGCACAAAGCTTGACCAAATGCGGAAACAACTCAAAGCTTGCGAAGAGAAGAAAAGGCAGCAAGACGAGAACCCCAAGCAATCAGTTGCACGCACACCCCGTCCTACCCTCAAGGGTCTTCTCAGCAGCCAGAGGCAAGAAATGGCTGCTAAAACCGCCAAATCTCGTCCTGAGCCAAAGCCCGCTCCACCACCTCGTGGTGATGTGTATGATGTGCCCAGCTCGAGTGAATCTGAGAGTTCGGACAGTGATTCTGATTCCGACAGTGACGAGTCCGAGAGTGACCAAGGCGATATCTTACCCGATGGGTCCCATGAAAAGCTGCGCAAGCCCTGGTCTCAGCGCAATAAGTGAACCCTGTGACATCCACTCAATGCATTTGTTTTGTCGTTAAGATATCCCGTTTACTACATGTGTCATTATTTTCTCGTGTACATTGTATCATTGCAAGAAATTCACAACTAATATTGATCAATAACTTAACCTTTATTTCAAGTAGATCGCAAGACTAAATCAGTAAATCACCAAACAATAGGATGGACCAGGCCAAGAATAGTAGTCCTGTACCAGTCCCAACGCGTGTCTCTAGGGAACATTGGCACCATTCTGCTCTGTCTTTTCGTGGTTTTCATCAGCCCATCCCTTAGGTGGTGGCAGCACCTCATAGTTCCAACCCCAAGAATCCTCCACAGTCCCAGATTGTATACCCCGAAGCATCTTCAACAATTGAACACAAACCTCCCCACCCTCCTTCTCAGCCCCAGTGCGATACTCGAATTTATCCGCACGAGACTTCATAGTAATGCTACCAACGGGCACCAGAGCAGCAGCAGTCCCAGCAGCAATAACCTCCTCAAACTCCCCCAATTCCTCATACAAAACCCTCCGCTTCTCAACCCGATAACCCAACTTCCGCGCAATTTCCAGAACAGAAGCTGCAGTCACGGAATCAATCGCATTCCGACTATCCGGCTGAATAACAGTAACCCCACCATCAGCATCCCTCTTGACCCCAATAAACGCACTCGTCGAAAACTCATCAACCTCACTCCGGGTCGCACTATCCAAATGAAGCGTAATCCCATACCCCTCCTTCCGCGCCCGGTCACTATGTCTCAACACAGGCGCATAATTCCCCCCCACCTTCGCAGCACCAGTCCCAAACGGCGCACACCGATCAAAATCTTCAAGAATCAATGCATCAACCGCACTAGCTCCGTGGTACACTCCAGTCGGCATGGCGAATACAGCAAACGTATACCCATCCGGCGGACTAAGCCCCAGCTGCGCCGATGATCCGAATAGTAAGGGGCGGACATACATCGCCGCACCGGATTCGTGCGGTGGCACATATTCGGCGTTTAGTCCGACGGCCAGCCGGACGCATTCTATGAAGAGCTCTTCTGGAACGGGTGGGATAGATACCACCTCAGCGGAGAATTGCATGCGCTTGGCGTTCCGGTCTGGGCGGAAGACTGTTATCTTGTTGTTGTGCGGGTGGCGGAAGGCTTTTAGGCCTTCGTATACTTGTTGGCCATAGTTGAGGGCTGGGGACATGCCCGATATTCCTAGGGTTGGGGAATTGACGTATTGCGGGGCTGTCCATTTGCCGCTGCCGCTGTGGGAGAAGTGGCATTCGACGTGGCCGTTGCCTATGAGTTGTTAGTTGGGTGATTGGGCGTCATTTCAATTGGGGGTTGATACCATCGCGGACTTTGAAGCCAATGTTCTTCCAGTCGAGGGCAATGGGTGGGGGGTGCATCTTGGAGATGTGTGGAGTTTAGATCTGACACCCGGGGCCGCGTACGCTTATATATACTCCGAGGTCGGGACTGGGTTTGCTGACTACTCTACTTTCTGACTTTGGGTCTCTTGTTCAGGCATTCCTTATCACGACCTGTACTGTATCCGGCCAATTAGAGATATCAATGGCTCTATTTCTCGCTATTTATTGGGCAATTTCTAATTACAGAACTGTCTCGGATATATCATATACCCGAAGCCATTCGGATCATCTATAGACCCGGTTTCATGCAGTATTCGTAAGGTAACTTAATCGCGACATTTGGGCACTAGCTTTCTTGAGCGGCGTTCATGTCACCGCTCTCTTGATTTTGTTCTCTGCGTCCAAACGATGTCACTAAGCATACCTTTAGTCTACCGGGCACTTCATGGCGCGTGAACTTGTGGTACTCCTCGGCGATGTTCTCGAATACATCTTCATACGTGAACATCGATGACGGATCGAGTTTCCCCTGAACAACCAGGTCCAGTAGGAATGGATAATACTATATTTGAATAAGCGTCAATTCACCAGAACGGGGCTTGTCTCACCTTCTGTGGACACACTTGACCCCCGCGGACCCTCAATGCCTTCTGCATCATCGGCCCAATAGGAAAGTCGTGCGTCGTGAAGAAGAAGTCCCCAACCAATGCAACATTGCCACCCTTGCGCGTAGCCTTGATGATATCCTCCAATGTATCCCCACTATCCCGCTCCAACCCAATAGCACGCATAGCAGCATGTGGAGGCTTCTGCACACTACGGAACCCACTCGCCTCAATAGCCCGATCAAGACCCTCTTCCTGAATAGACAGAAGGTACTCCCCAACCTCTTGATGAAGCGACACATCAACAGGCGTCATCCCGAAATCCTCAGCGCTCCGCAGTCGCTGCGAATCCCGATCCATAGCATACACCTTCTTCGCTCCGCGCAGCATTGCTAACTGCTGCACCGCAAGTCCAATAGGTCCACAACCCCAAACACCAACAACATCGCCTTCCTGCACCTCGGCCAATTCTAGCGCATGCCAAGCAGTTGTAATGACATTACTCAGTCCAAGCAACTTCCTCGCATCAACTCCACGCGGTGCCCGAATACATGTCAAATCGGCATTTGGAACACGACAATACTCAGCCTAATCACCGGGATACCCACCGGAACGCCGACTATATCCCATGCCCTACGCAACCTTCATCTCCTTCGATGGATTGGTATTCCCGCACAGCGAGTACTCCTCCCGCTGACAATAATCACAGCTTCCACACGCAATGACGGGTAAGATGATGACCCGGTCACCGGCTTTGAGGGTCCTGACTTTTGGTCCGACTTCTTCGACTATGCCGATTGCTTCTTGGCCTAGGATGTTTGGAGGGCAACATATACCGTTCATTGTAGGGTGTGATAGCATGTTGGATGTTTTGCCCATCTGCAGGGCGCCTTTGATGACGTAAGGACATTTTCGTTTGACTGGAGTCGAGGCATTGGCTATCAATGGATGAACTATTAACTGTGCGATGTTACTGTACTCCGTATGACATGAAGTTATCGCATTTTCTAGAGCCCCATACCGTTTGCAAGTTCGGTTTGTCAAGCAGAACAGATCATGGTAATTCAACAGCGCCCAAAACCAAGTGGCCATGTAGATGCAGCCATCGACATTGCCCTCGCCTGATGTTTGTGGCTGTGGGGGCTTTAAGATTGGGATTTACGCCTAAGTGATGTAAGTAGCCTTAGTGGCACATTTCGGTGAAAATGAACCCTTAGTTGCTACTCCTGATTTTTTGAAATAAATAAATAAAAGAGACCAAAGAAATTGATGGAAATAGGTAGCCGTGTCACAGGACCGCCCCCCACCCTCGCGGGTAGGGGGTGTCCCTCAGCCATAATGCAATTCGCAGCCATAATGCAAATTTTCAATTTCTTCAACTTCTAGCTCATTTTCTAGGCGTATAAGGTCCAGGATCTATGAAATAAAGCATATCAATAGCTTTATTAGCCAATAATATATCATCCTCCTTATTTTCAGCTGTTTCTTCCAATTCCTTAGCCGCTAAATCGGCCGCCATTTTCTCTGCGTCTTTCCGCCAAGCACGAAGCTTCGATTTGTCTTCTTTCTCACACCTTCGCTGTACTAGCCTATTTCCTGAAATTGATGACAGAGGGCTTTTCGTAGCTCCCTTTACCTATCGCTTGCTTCTTGACTTTTTTCTAGGCGTTTTGTGGCTAAGGGCGCGCGTAAGGCTTATCCCTGCAAGTTCCGTATTATATAGAGACGATTTTCCGGCATTAATTGCGCGCCGTATATGCTTCCGAATTTTTCGTAAATCAGGACTAGGGTTGTTAAGTAGTGGGAAAACCGTATCCTCCAATTTCTTAATACGCGCATAAGAATTGGGCGGAGAATTGGTCGCTGAACTTGGGAATTCGCGGGCGGGTGATAGTAACGGCTTGTCATATATGCGTAACGTCTCTCCGTCCGAATCCTGTCCCAAACGATCTAAAACTTGTTTAGGATCAAGTGGCTAAATACTAGTAGATTTAAACGAAGTTTTGATAGTTTAGGACCTTAGTGCAGAGCGTCGGACGGCATTAGTGTTGCGGAAAAAGTCGCGTTTTTTATTGCTTCCCACCCCACGCTATAACTTTAGTATTCGCTATTTTAAAATAATGCTTTAGGCTTAAAAAAGCCTCAGCATCAAGCGGCTGATATAGATAAGTCGTGTGAGGCATAGAATACTAAGGAATAATCAAGTTTTCCTTACAAAAATCGAGAAATTCGACAGTTATATGTGATATATGATTGTCTATTAGCAAAAGCCTCGGCCGCCCGCGTCGTACGCGGTTTTTTGTAGCTTCATAAAACGAGTAGAGCCATCGGTAGGCAGTCTCACGATCTATCTAGCCACTAGACGTCAAATAGATGATTTTATACGCTAAAGAAGAGGTTGATACATTGCTATACCAGTCTTCTATATAGACGCTTCCTTTGACTAGAAACCACGGAAACATTACCCAGCCATCAGCGGCGACGCATTTAATGCCGGTAATAGTTTCACCTCGATCTCTAGTAGCAATGCTAGCAGTTTGACGCGTAGAGACAACGTGTTAGTTAAGTCCTTCCCCATTTTAGAAGCCAGTTTCATCCCAATTATGGATCTCATAAGGTTCGAAATCATGCTCACGATAGAGATAAGCAAGCCTATCATACCAATAGCTAATAACTTCAGGATCCTCGGCTTTAATTCGTAAAGTTTTCTTCGGTTTTTGGGTGACAAGCTTGATATGTGGAGGTAGACGGTCTATAAACCGATAGCTATACATTAGACCGACAACTCTCTCCGAACCTGCTATTTTCAATAGGCGATTTGCAGCACTTTCGATGTCTTTTGCGCATGGAGGTGTATAGCAAGAATTTAGCACTTCGATCCAGCTAATTAATGCATTTTCCTGATTTAGATTCAATGCATTGTTGGTGGTAGGGCGATCGGAGAGAGATGTCTTCCCGTTTTTGCGACCGCGAAGCTTCGAATAAGACACGCGATAATGGTCCGCAGCCTTACGTAGGGTTGAAAATTCTTGCGATTCATAAGCATCTAATGCCTTAGCTAGCAGAGCCTCTTCATCATGAGCTTTTTTTGGCATTTTTTGGTGGGTAAAAATTCGCGTAAAGTTGAAAAAGTAGGAAATTTGCATTATGGCTGAGAATTGCATTATGGCTGAAGGACACCCCCTACCCGAGAGGGTTGGAGGTTGTCCCGTGACACGGCTATATGAAATTGGACCTAGTCGAGAAAGTCACCAGTGGTCTGCAATGGGAGTTCATTTATACCTTTAGCCGTCAGGAGAGCCAGAAACACGGAATTCCGAGATCGAGATTCAATCTGGAGTTTAGCTAGGTTTACCTCTAAACGCCGCGATCTGGGTAATGATCGGACACGGACTCCGGGGCGGGAAAAGCCAGGTGGATCAATGACTCCACCATATTAAGCGTGTAATTATGTGCTGCCATGCAGCCAATTAGTACCTTATTGTACCAACATTCCAGTTGAGAGGCCTGCTACATGCAACAGGAAATGATCCTTGGTCGGTGGCGTAGGCATCAGAGTTTAAAGGAAAAGATATGCATTTCACACTACATTTGCTCTTTATAAAAAAGGAACACAACAATACTTGCATGCTCGGCAAATCGTAGACCAATAAGAGTAGTCGATGTATAGGAGAGAACGTGGGGAAAAGTCGGCCAAACGGAGTCCGCTCCTCCGTGATAGACCGGGAAGTGGCAGCCCCGATGCATAAACCTCTAAACTCCGATCTACACGCGGTTTATTTGTTGTCCGTCTCCGCTTTGAAGATTCTGATGATCTTTTTTATAAGGGTCCCTAGGCCTGGCCCTCCTTAAGGCTTTCTCGTAAGGCTTTCTCCCATACACATCCCCGACTTCTCATCATGGAGAAGGAATACGATGAGCCAGAGTTCGCTCCTATTACGGGGCGGGTCCCCACTGTTCTAGAGGAACAAGAACAGAAAGCCCTGACGCGTATCGCCTCCAGCAAGCTTGGCCTGCAACTGTCCACCACTGCCAGCGGAAAGACTCTACAACCTCATCTTGATCCATCCAGTCCACACTTCGATCACCAACGATGGGCTCAGATGGTCCTGAACCAAGTTAATGAATCCGGAATTGATATTTCCCACCAAGGTGTCGTCTTCTCCAACCTCTGCGTCAGCGGTTCCGGCTCTGCGTTGCAATATCAGGAAACCCTTACTTCTAGTCTCCGAGTTCCATTCCGTGCAGCTGTTAGAGGTCTAACTGGACGTGCCCCGTCGCCTAGAGAGATCCTTCACAGCTTCGATGGGTTACTTCAGGGGGGAGAACTTCTCCTTGTCCTGGGCCGACCTGGCAGTGGATGTACGACATTCCTCAAAACCATTACTGGACATTTGGGAGGACTGTCATTGGACCCTAGCAGCACTCTTCACTATGAGGGTGTCGACTTCGACCACATGATTAGACATCACCGCGGAGAAGTCGCCTACAACAAAGAAGTCGATCTTCATTTCCCTCATTTGACTGTGGGCCAGACCCTCACATTCGCCGCCCATGCCCGAGCTCCCCATGAGCGCCCCGGGGAAATGTCACGCACTGAATATGTCGAGACCCTCACCAAAGTCGTTCTATCGGTTTTCGGCCTATCACATACCTACGACACCAAGGTCGGCAATGAATTCGTGCGTGGTGTCAGTGGAGGCGAGAGAAAGCGAGTCAGTATCGCTGAGATGTTCCTGTCCCGCTGCCGGATTGGAGCATGGGATAACAGCACCCGTGGTCTTGATGCCGCCTCAGCCCTGAAGTTCGTCAAGTCGTTGCGTCTCGCCGCTGACATGGGAAAATCCTGCCATGCTATCGCTGCCTACCAGGCTTCGCAGTCCATGTATGATCTTTTCGACAAGGTTGTCCTTCTATACGAAGGATACCAGATCTACTACGGACCCAGAGACCGGGCGGTTGCCTACTTCCAAGATATGGGCTTCGAAAGACCTGAACGCCAAGTCAGCGGTGACTACCTGACTGCTATCACCAACCCAGCTGAACGCCGGGTATCTCCAGGCTTCGAAGGAAAGGTGCCCCGCACTGCGAAGGAATTCGCCGAGCATTGGAAGCAGAGCCCAGAGTATCAAGCTCTGCAGAATGATATCAACAACTACGAGGGTGAACACCCACCGAATGGCGGCGACGCAAAGAGGCTTCAGGAGAGCCACAAAGTCCAACAAGCTCGTCACACCCGCGACAGCAGCCCGTATCTTCTATCTGTTCCTATGCAGGTGCGGCTTTGCATGCACAGAGCCTACCAGCAAATGCTCCAAGATCTGCCGACGGTCATGTCTCCAGTCATCGTGCAGATCAGCCTGTCTCTCATTATTGGTTCTATCTTCTACAATACCCCCGACTCGCCCAGTTACTTCTTCCAAAAGGGAGGAGCGATGTACTTTGCCGTGCTTATGAACGCCCTTCTCACGATGAACGAAATTATGCAGCTTTACGCCCAACGTCCAGTCGTCGAAAAACAAGCCGGCTATGCATTCGTCCATCCATTTACCGAAGCACTTTCCAGCATTGTGGTTGATCTACCGATTAAACTCCTACGACTCTCCTTCTTCACCATTGTACTCTACTTCATGGTAAACCTTCGCCGTGAACCGGGGCCGTTCTTCGTCTTCTACCTCTTCCTGCTCACTTCTGTCTTGGCCATGTCCGGTCTCTTCCGTACCGTCGGCGCATTGACTAAGACCATCGGACAGGCAATGTCTTTTGCTGGTGTGCTTGTGCTGTGTATCGTCGTTTACACTGGATTCACCCTGCCTCAACCGTACATGCATCCATGGCTTTCTTGGATTCGCTGGATCAATCCCATCTACTACACCTTCGAGGCACTTGTTGCCAACGAGTTCCACGGCAAGAATTTTGATTGTACATCATTCATCCCAAGCAACCCAGTTGGCTCATCCTTCATTTGCTCTACGGTCGGTGCAGTTGCTGGTGAGAGAACCGTCTCTGGTGATGCATTCATCATGGAGAACTATCAGTACCAGTACTCCCATGTCTGGCGCAACTTTGGAATTCTCGCCGCTTTCACCATCGTCCTAAATTGTACCTACCTGCTTGCGAGTGAGTACCTCACTGAGGACAAGTCGAAGGCTGAGGCTTTGGTCTTCCGCCCTGGTCATGCGCCCAAGTATCTCCAGCAAGAGATTACCATCGAGCATGGTTTGGAAGAAGTCAACAAGCTTGAGTTGCAACGAACCAACGATACCATTCGCCTCCCGGAACAAAAGGACATTCTCTCATGGAACAACCTCAACTATGAGATTCCCGTGAAGGAAGGAACCCGACGACTCTTGGATAATGTCAATGGCTGGGTTAAGCCTGGCAGTTTGACCGCCTTGATGGGTGTCTCTGGAGCTGGAAAGACAACCCTTTTGGATGTTCTCGCACAGAGAGTTTCGATTGGCGTGGTCACTGGTGATATCTTCGTCAATGGCAACCCTCTCGCTGCCAACTTCCCCCGTCGCACTGGTTACGTTCAACAGCAGGATCTTCATCTTGACTCGACTACCGTGAGAGAGGCTTTGCGTTTCAGTGCTATGCTTCGCCAGCCTAAGGCTGTGTCTAAAGCTGAGAAGTATGATTACGTGGAACAGGTTATTCAGGTCCTCGGTATGGAAGATTTTGCCGAAGCTGTCGTCGGAAGCCTAGGAGAAGGTCTCAACGTTGAGCAGCGCAAGCTGCTCAGTATTGGTGTTGAGCTCGCTGCTAAGCCTACCCTACTCATTTTCCTCGACGAGCCTACCAGTGGTCTGGATTCTCAGAGCTCGTGGACCATTTGCCAGTTCCTTCGACGCCTCGCAGATCACGGCCAGGCCGTCCTCGCTACCATCCATCAGCCTAGCGCGCAACTGTTCCAGACCTTCGATCGCTTGCTCTTCCTCGCCAAGGGAGGAAAGACCGTCTACTTTGGAGACATCGGCGCTGACTCGTCCACCCTCCTGAAGTACTTCGCAGGACACGGAGCCCGCCCCTGTCAACAACTTGAGAATCCCGCAGAGTATATCCTCGAAATGGTTGCTGGTGACTCGTGTCCTGAAATTGACTGGTCCGATGCCTGGAACAAGAGCCCCGAGTACCAAGAAGTCCAAGCCGAAGTCCACAGACTCCACAGCAGCCACAAGCCATCCATCCACGAAACATCCCTAGACAACGATGACGGCGAGTTCGCCATGCCTCTCAGCAGCCAACTTTACTACGTCCTCAAACGAGTCTTCCAACAATACTGGCGCCAACCAGAATATGTCTTCTCCAAACTAATCCTGGGCATCGTCTCCGGCCTCTTTATCGGATTCTCATTCTGGAAAGCCGACAACACCCAACAAGGCTTCCAAAACGCTCTCTTCAGTGTTTTCCTTCTCAGCACAATCTTCAACACCCTCGTCAACCAAATCATGCCCCGCTTCGCCGCCCAGCGCTCCCTATACGAAGTCCGCGAACGCCCCTCCAGAATCTACTCCTGGAAGGTCTTCATCCTCTCCCAAATGCTAGTCGAAATCCCCTTCCAAGTCATCCTAGGAATCTGCTCCTGGGCCTCATTCTACTGGTCCGTCTTCGGCGCAGACCAAGACGCCGAGCGCCGCGGCCTGATCCTCCTCTACATCGTCCAATTCTTCATCTACGCTGCCAGTATGGCCCAGCTCGTTATCTGCGCAATTCCCGAACCAGCCCTGGCTAGTATGCTCGTCACACTCATGTTCGGTCTCTCGTTCGTCTTCAACGGTGTCATGCAACCACCCAGTGCCCTCCCCAGATTCTGGATCTTCATGTACCGCGTCTCGCCGTTTACCTACTACATTAGTGGTATCGGTAGTACAGCCCTGCATGGCCGCAAGGTCGAGTGCAGTGCTGCTGAGATGAGTATTCTGAACCCGCCTGCTGGCCAGAATTGTTTCCAATACCTGAATGAGTACAGCATTGCGGCTGGGGGATTGCTTTCAAACCCCAGTGCCACTGAGAACTGTCAGTATTGTTCTATGTCGTCGGCGGATCAGTATCTTGCTGCCCGTGAGATTTACTGGGGTGATCGCTGGAGGAACTATGGTATCTTCTGGTGCTATTTCATCTTTAATATCCTTGCTGCTATTTCGCTCTATTACCTCTTCCGGGTGAGGAGTTCCAAGGCAAAGATAAAGAAGGCTTGATTTCATTAATGTGGTGTAATTTCTGCATTGTTTTGGTGTTTCCTTTGAACATATTCGCCTTGTGACTCATTGTATACTCAACTCTTTTTGGTACCATACATACTCTTCTCAGAATAAAGCATATAAATTTTTTCTTTCGTTTGTGCCTTGGAAGCGTATTCAACGTCAGGTTGGACTCAATAGACAGCCAGACCCGAACCGTTCACGGTTGCCATGGGTGAAACTCAACGGCTAGTCCTGAATAGGTAAGAAAAGTAATGTGATAGCCAATCAGTGCATCAAGATCTTGCGACAGGGCCTTCAACTGCCTTCAACTAGCCACCGCGAAACGAAGGACGGGCTACCTCCCCAAATGTCTAGAATCGTCCCAGTAACCTTTAAAAATTCGGACTGACTTACGTTCCTCCGTTCTCTGTATGACTTGTTTCCTAAACATTACGCTTTCTGATTGTAATACTGATGCACATGGGTTCAGAATATTCCATTTAACCCATTTTCCCTCGGCGGGGACTAGTAGTGTGCATTAGCATCCCGCGCTATACAGGGTTCACAGTAACTACTCCAAATACTCGCTAGTCTTATGCCGGTCAAAGGGCCATCTCATTACATGGCAGGGATTATTTAGTCCTGCTGACTCGCAAGGGTACATCCGCCCCTCTTTGCGACTTCACTCTTTCCAACTTCATGAAATTTGCCTTGCTGTCACAATTCTTCCCCCCAAAATTAGCCGCCATCACCACTCAAAATATCTTTTCTCTTTGATGCCCATAGGCACAGCATGGCAGGGAATTTCACATATCCAACTGAAGCTGAGTATCGGTTCATAGTGGCAGACCTGGTGAATGTAACCTGGGATGTTGTCGCTCCTCTGATATCGCTTTACGAGAGCTGTGGCAGTAATGATCATGCACTAGAAGGTGAGGTTGTCTATTTGACTTGTACTCTTGCTTTGAACGGTTAATCTGACTATCCCTGTTAGAGAGAACAACCAACAATTATAGCTATGTGTGGATAGCGACTCGCAAAAACTACGTAGAGCAAGGGTGTAACTTCATGCTCCAGCCGTTCACTACCGAAGGCGAGTCATATGGTAACAACGTTACAAGTATTGTTTTTGGGGTATCGAAGAGATACACAGACGATCCATCGCCTGTCTCGTACAACTTCATTAATACATCGTCATCCACATCTGCAAGCGCCACGAAAGCAAGTTCAACGTCTTTCGCTACCTCGGCGAGTGTCGAAAATATATCATCCCCAACGACTACGTCAGCTCCTGAATCCAGCCACGGCATGTCGAAGAAGAGTGAAATTGGAATCGGCCTTGGTGTTGCACTAGGTGTTTTGTTGTTATTTGTCGCTATGGGCGCGTTCATCTTCTATCGGCGGAAAGGTCGCCAGAAAGACGCCCAGGGGGTGCCTGTTACAAATCAACTCAATGATGAACTGGCTCCACTTCCTATTATTTGCTATAAAGAGCCTCATACCACGCGCCTGTCACAGACGGAGACGGTAGCTTCTTCGTTTTCGAAACTGTCAAGTGATCAAAGATCGGAGGGGACAGACAGACGGCTAAGTGAATTAATGTCTACTGAGCGAGCGGAGTTAGGCTGATTCCAATACTGGGTTGCAATATTCAGTGTAAAGGGGTGGATGTTCTGGGGGCCTTGACCCAAGCCACCGACTGTCTTTGTTTTCTAGGCTGGGTGGGTTTTCAAAGCCTAGGTATAACTGTAGAAGTAGCTTACATTAATGAGTTTTTATGGATTCTTTGCATTCATAGAAAAGAGGAAAACACTTGCTGGTAGTCTGACAAAGCAGATGGGTTGACACGAAGAAAGACACCCATTAATCGAGTATCGACAGCGATCGTGAAGCCGAGATGATCAGAAAAAGATAACATCATCAAATATCATATTGAGCTAAAAGCTGTTTGAGGTGCCCATTGTCACCACCGCACGCGGAAATCGTCTGAGCTTCTCGAAGAGGTATTCTGCCAGATGATGGTAGGAAGTTCGGTCAGGCGAAGTGTTACATCCTGGTAGATGCCCGTTTGGCCGGCTCGATACCACCGGACGTGGACCGGAGGCACCTCGGTACAATCAAGGTGAAACTCGAGCAGTTGGTTCTTCAGCAGCTCTGCCACAGGCCTAACAGTGTCATCGAGAAGCCATTGGTCCAGAACCGACCCGAGATTCTTTTCAGGTCTCTGCACCAGAGATTGCGCGAGCACCATTATCTGTCAATTAGAGATCAACTGAGAGAGGTGCTTCGTGTACTAGGCTAGAGTCAGCCATCGCCGGGATCGCGGGTGAAGAAGGGCACTGCGACGAATGATACGAGTACCCAGCCATAGGCACGACGAGGCCCACCATGCTGGATGGTACTCATACTGATCAGAAGCGTTCGCCACTTTTACTCACGGAGTGAGTTGGTCCTCGTCCAGTGAAAAGGAAGTATTGGACAGGTGTTCTTGTTCCACCACTGGCTCCCAGTAGCAGACCAGCTTCTGCCATGTCTCGCTATAACGTCGAAAACATTGTCCGTTTTGGAGACCCGGGACAGGCTTGAGAGGTGTCCTTCCAGGTAAACATGTTGAGAAGACAGGCATCATGCGGCTTAGTCGACGACTCTCAATTTTTCTGTTATATAGAACTACTCCCTTTGCACGCTCCAGTCTTCCATGAGCACACACATATTCGGGCTAGCCGCGGTTCCGTTCCTGATTAGAGTAAGGCAGCTGATAGCTAGCATGGAGCATTTTGAGTTCGATTCCGGCCAGATGGATGTAGATTCTTGACCCCACGTGGTAGAGTGCAGTGCGAGACTAGGGTGTAGGTGCGAGGAATCGGTCCGGATGTGGTTTTATATCAGTAGAAACCGGGTCCGTGGAATCCCGTCGCATAACATACATAACCGCATTCTTTTCAATAATTAAGCTCTGCAGTGCATTCAAACATTGCCGTAGCTTGACCTTGCAAATTCCAATACGTCACCAGTCAACCCCTTGATCATTGTAAGCTTCGCCAACCAGATCACGAAATATGTCTGTAATGAGAAAAGAATACATGTGTGAACCTCGCTTCTTCGAAAGATATGTGACGGTATTGTACTGCGACGATCGGCACTCTCGGCAGAATGAGAAACCGACCTTAACTACTTGATCGGGCCGTTGACCCACCCCGAGGCATCCGAGCCTCCATATTCAGGTTGTATAGCATCATCACCCTGATCCGATTTGCCGATTCCTGGTAGAGTTCGGTTTGACGCGCCACACAATTTCAGGTTTTTAGACAGTCCATTTAAAATGCTCTTCCCTCTTCATCCGTAACCTTGCTCTCTAAATACAAGCACTTGATCTTAATATCTTCCCATTTCCTGCATCCTGCATAAAGTCAGCTATCAACAAATCCAACACCAAAATGCCAGTACTACCCTCTCTCAAAGGCTCCTCTTTCGACGCCGACATTCGAGACCGCCACATGATCTACGACTACGCAGCAAAAGACACACATGGCAAACCCGAAAAATGGCGATACGAAATGTGGTTCTACAATGAAGATCGCATCGTCTACGCCATACATGGGGGTCCAATGGCAGGCAGAAAGAACTTTCAAACTGCAACATACCAATGCATCCGTCCTGGAGAACTATGGCAATGCAATTGGCTAGAGGAAACGGGCACTATCTGTTCGCTCGTCTATGATATCCCCAACAAACGCATCTCAACTTTACTTGCATTCTCGCAAGGCCATTGGTCACAGAATGAGGCTGCTCATGGTGACAAGCGCAATCCTGAGGACCTTGCGCGTTGGAGAGAATTGGCGAAGGTTGGCGACTCTCAGGCGGATAGGGTGCTTTTGAGTGAACAGGCAGATATCTTGGAGGATTTTAGGGGTCCCGGATCTTTGGAGGACATAAAGATGGAGTGGCCTACTTTGTAACATTAGCTCTATGATTAGTTTAACTTTGGAGACTAGGACCATAGAAATTTTCACAATCTTTCTGCTTAGAAAGACTAGTTCAATCTCTTCACAACTTGCATGTCGAACCACCTGCATAATAACATGCTCAAATTTCACATTCCGAATTCAAATTGAGAAGAAGGTTAAATCCTTATAATGGTTCTGCAGAATCAGCTGGTTTAGCGCTCACTTGTTTGTTTTCATCTCATGTCTTCTGTCTGAATGCCCAACTATACAACGACAATTTTGGGAAAGAATCAGATAGATGCCCTACGGTACACCGGTGTTTATCTATAAAGCCTACGAACAGCAGGTGAAATGGCAAGAGAAATTTTCTCAATTTTCGCTCACCTGGCTCTCTTGCCGCCTTAATCCTATTTTGTTAGCCCTTTTGTATCCGAACTTAGCAGTTCGACGATAAATCTTTTCCCTGATATAAGTGGATCGATCTAGGTGGTGCTTTCCTGCGGGACTGAGAGATTGGACGATCCCAACCGGGCCAGAAAGGAAAAAGAAGAGAAAGTACGTCGACCAAGCTACGTGGAGGACAAGCGATATTTTGAACATAGAAGGCAGGTGCTAGGGAGGTAAAAGCGGCTAGAAGAAGCGTTAAGCGCGAACACCCGTGAAACCAATACCACGATATTCATACCCGGTTTCTTTTGTGATGGCTAAGAAAACAACGCTAAAACGACGGGCTTGTCCTCACATAGTCATAGTCGCCGAACAGTATAGTAAGACATCTAGAACGCCAAGCGTCCAGGGGTCAAAACGTGGCCAGTGAGTCACCAGAAACAATCTCCCTTTGTTGCATTGTACCTTGCCAGACTCATACTTTCTCATAAGAAATACTCGAACGTTACAAGTTGAGATATGTCGATGAAACCGCAATTGCCTGCGGAGATACAGGCGCAAATCCTCCTAGAAGCCTCCGAGACCATCTCATTCCCAGATTTGTGGAGAGCGAGAGCGGTAAATAGTACGCTAACCTAAATGCCTCGTTGGGTTCATGTTTAACGATTACAGGCTTCTTTGCGAGTGAGATTGAGGCCATAGTGACAAAGGCCATCAGGGGTAAGTGCTGCAACGCGTGTTTCAGCTCTGGACATAATTCCAATCCTCTTTCGGGACACGACCGTCAAATTCAAGTGAGACGCCTATCTCTCTACCTCAAAACGAAAGAATACCCCCGGGAACCAACTGTATGGTCACGTCTCGTTGATGACATACTCGGCATTCCAAACGACAGAAGAACTGAAGAAACTGAAGCCTTTCTTAACAAACTTATCGATGCATGGCTATGTGACACTGCCGAAAGCCGCTGGGACATCATGGGCAAAGCTCAGCCAAAGTATAAAATGTATCGATCTTCGTACTGGACAGAGATATACAATCACTCTTTCCGACGGTGGCGTGTGACCGACAGAATCAATCTTTCCTTTGTTATCAATGCATTTAGAAGAGGGCGTTGCATGGAGATGCAAGCCCTTCTTGATCAACGAACTGATATAGAACATCTGGTCAAAAAAAGCAATACCGATGGATTGAAGGTGTGGATTGAGTACCTTCAAATGACAGAACGGCGAAGTCCGACATTTTTGGACCCAGTTATCACAGAGATAATGGCTCACGGGGTACCGGAAATCCTGGGGTTTATTCAGGATGAATGGGAAGCTGCGTTCACCGGCATCTCTTTGGTTCCTCATATGTTCAAACGGGCCGTCGATACAGGATCTTTGGAAACTATCAAATATCTCTACGCCAGCGGTCGACTGGATCTGAATATGCGGACAAGTTCAGCTTACTGGCCCCATGGACCGCTACGGTTAGTCATACAAAAGTCCCCAAGGAGTAGAAGACTGGAGATCTTGAGATATCTTCTCCAACAGGGGGCAGACCCAAATGGACCGAATTGGGCCAAATGTACCCCGTTTAAAGATGCCGTGCTAGAGAGAGATGTCGAATCTGCGGAGGTTCTCTTGCAACACGGAGCAACTTTTGATATTGGCTGTGTGAAAAAGGCGCTCTTGTCCACAGCCTTCAGCTGGCCGGCGAACAAGCAGCCCTGCGATGCTATGGCTCAGCTCTTATGGCCGAACGGCAAGGTTATTTCTCCATATAAAAAGGGAGGCAAGAGCTATGTTTTCTCTCGTGATTCAATAACGATAGGCAACATTGAGAAAGTGTTTCTTGGCCTAGGATGGAGCGACGATGAAGTACAGGGGATGCAGTGGAACTATTTTATCGACGTTGTCGGGGATTTTTCTGGTTTTGTAAAGAAGTAGTTCATTCACTGCTGAAAACACACACGCTAAAAATGTCATCAAACTATTCACTCCGCAACTTCCAACTACCACCCTTCAACCCGCTAGCCTTGCCATTAACAAGCTTAACCCGCTCCCCACCCTCAGAAACAAGACTTCCCTTAGCTCCAGCCAACACAAAATCACCAGTGGTATTAGGAGGGGTAACAAAAGCAAACTTCCCAACACCTTTCCCACTACCATGATAAAACGTCGAGAACTTCCCCTGAACAGTCTCAAAACCAGCATCAACAAAAGTCAAATTCCCAGGCTGGGGCGCAATAATCCAAGAAGAACCCCCAGCCCCGGTAAGTTGGATACCAGCCGTATAAGCCGTAAGCGCGTATGTCGGGCCAGTTGACCAACCATGCGCATGCGAAACACGTGGATCATTGGTATATGGCGCGTAATGTAATGACCCATCAGTAGAATAACCCTCAATGAAAGTCGATTGTGTCATGCGCGGATCATTGAGCATGAATCCCCACTGAAGACGAATCAGATCGAGTGCTGAGTTCGGTTTGTTGGCTAAGTAGTGGGCTTGCAGTTCGAAGCCGCTGATGAAAGGGGACACGGTTTTGCCGGCTTCGGGTGCTGGTGCACCGTATTTACCCCAGCGGGCTTTGAGGGCGTTGGATATTTGGATGGCTTGTGCGGTTGATTGGGTTAGATTTGCTTTTATGGCCCAGGCGTTGCCGTCTTGTGGGTGCATTGTTGTTGTTTCGTTGTCGAAGTATAGACCGCTGGACGAATCCCAGAGCTTTTGGTTTGCGACTAGCTTTAATTTTGTGGCGGTTGTGCTCCAGTCTGTGAGCGCGGTTTTGTCGTTTAATTCTGCTGCTAGGGTTTGAGCGTCTTGGAGGACAAAGTATAGGATTGCGTTTGCTTCGATGTTCTATGTTGGTTGTTAGTATGGGGTATTTGAGAGGTATATGTGTCGGTATACTTACATGACCTCCCATTCCAAAGCGCAGCCAGTCGGCTGAGGAGGTGACGTTGGCCAAGCCGGTGTCATCAACGCTGCTGAGCGCCCATTCGACACCGCGCTTGTACTGCGACCAGTAGCTGGATAGCCAGTCCTTGTCACCCGAGAAGCGGTACAGGTAAGTGGCACCAATGAGAC